GTTAAGATATAGCTGGCAAAGCAGAGGTGAGAGGAAAGTCAGGTGTTCAGGACCGCAGTTTGTGAGCCCTGCCGCATTACAGCACACCTGGATACAGGGGCTCAAACTCCAGGTCACCCGGTAGTTGCATCGAGGTCAAGAGCCCGTGCTCATCACAATTAAACTTATTTCGGATTGTTGTGAGGACCTTTTTCCAAAAAAAAAAAAAAAAAAAAAGGGGGGGGGGGGGGGGGGCTTATCTGTATGTGAATGATCACACCTCTCCAATCGAACTGCCCCAAAAGGGAAAAACAACCGTTTTAGCTGGACTTAGAATGTGTGAAAGTACCTGTCACTGTTTTTAGGTCAATTTGTAGAAAGAGTTGTGAGACAGTTTGCATTCAACCAGTTTAAACGATCTCTATCTGGCAAGCTTACACGTGTGCTGTAACATGCAAACCGATTTGTGCACTTTTGTGGTGTATGGGAGAGCTGAATAACACAATTGCAACCTTTAAACACGCCTTAAATATTTGGTTTACAAAGCTAAGATTACATGAGAAAAACAGAAGCGAGATGGTCGAGTGCATTCTGGAGCAAAGTGTAACAAATAAGTAAATATTTCAAATGTGTTTTATTTATTATTTGCCCAATAACATGAATAACTCGAGCTTACCATTTATCCCTTCCAAATGTCACAGCTAATGATTCTGTTTACTTGCAGTTAGACTTGTAATTATTTGCATACATGCATGCGGTCTGCTGTCAGTTTCTTTTGAATTTCTTCAGCAATCTAACAGCTGTTTGTTTGTGGTGTTTGTTTGGACAGCCAGTGTTTGTTTAGCTAACGTTCCCTCTTTATTTTTCAGTGACCTGCCTCTGATTTAGCATGTCAAACTCTATTTACTAGTCATGGCGAGAGCTGCGCGGCTTTTGCAGACAGTTGACTATTGTCTTCGGAGGCTCTGCGAGATGTTTGTTAAATGAAGACTATGTTGAAAGACGTGTGTATGAACCAGTCAGGCGGGATCTGATGAAAGGCGCTCTTGTAACAGTCTTGGTCACAGTTTTTGTGTGTTTGTTTTTTTCTAACCTGCGTCTCTGAAGCCTCAGTACTATGTAAAAATGCAGTACTAAATCACTGCAGTGCCCCTTTAATGAGGGCTTTCTGATGCAAGAGCGCCACAAATTATAAGCTCTGAGAAGACTCAACACATCTCACAGTGTCAACAAAGTCACTCTTAAATTATTTATGCCAGGACGTTTCTACTGAATTGCATAATGCTGTAAAAGTTCTTTTTAAATTACTCAGTATTCATAAAATACAGAATAAGGTCAGATTTATACTCCCACAGTAACATAATGTAGTATAAAATGTGTATAAAAGAGGATTTAGCGCACACACTCCTTCACAAACACAGATTAGACAGACGTAATCCAGTCTAAGCTACAGTACTGTGCAAAAGTCTTGAGCTACTCTTATTTTCTTATATTTTAGAATAGAATGCCTTTATTTTTGATTATATGGGAGTGCAATGACATTTGAAGCATGTCTCTGAGTGCTACAGATAGCTAGATTGCCGTTTGGACATTGATTGTCTGTAGACCTGCTCGAGTGAAGGTAGCTGGTTGTCCTCTATGTTGATTTAATGACTCTCTGAACAGCTTTCTTGTCAGCCTCAGTGCAGCTGGCATACCACACCAAGATGCCAGGCTAAGTATACTCCACCGAGCTGTGGTAGAAGGACACAAGCAGCTGTTTGGGCAGGTTTGCTCTTTGCAGTGTTTCTAAGAAGTCAAATGGCTTCTGTGTCTTCTTCACGCGAGAGGTTGTGTTTAGAGGCCGTGTGAGATGAGTGTGCCGAGGAATTTAAAGCCGGGCACTCTCTCCACAATGTTTCCACTTATGCAAAGCGGAGCAGGTTCCTCTTCATGTCTCCTAAAGCTGACGATCAACTCTATATTTGGCTTCCAAGGAGACTTTCTTGCAGTTTTTAAAAAGCTGCCGTGAGCAATAGTTCTCCAGGCTTCCTGAAAGTCTTTCAAAGTTTTTCTTTGGGCATTGGCTGATTTTTCACTAGTTTTCAGTACAGTCTTTCTGTCTGAGGGGAATGTCAGATGATTTTTATCACTGAGCTATTAATCATTCAAGCATAAAACTCAATTTATTTATTTAACTCAAGTGATGAACCAGTATTGTGTGTTGGCACATCTTTAGACACTTTATTATTAGCAGCCTGTAACAAAAACACACGATTTCCTTTCATTTCTTTATCTGAGTCTATAAAAAATGTCAAAGATAATATAGTTTGACAGAATAAAATCTCTCTTTCTGGTGTGTAGTGCTTTCTTTAAAAAAAACTGAGGAAACTGGACAAGTGGGGGACAAACAAGTGCCAGCTCTAAAATAGTATCTACACCAGCATCTGGAAATAAATGACCTGACACAGGAAAGATGCATTTAGATATTCAACTGTTCCATCTACTGTACTGAAGCTTCATCAGAAATGGCCTCAGTGGAAGAGTGGCTGTAATGAAGCCACTCTTAAAGAAGCTTAGGGAAGGGAAACAGGTAGAAAAGGCCAAATTACACAAGAATGGGACTGAAAATCAGTAGCAACAGGTCTGATGGAGTGATGAATCCAAATGAGAAATTTCTGATTTGATTTAAATTAAATACCATCTGCAAAGCATCTGATTGGCACGAGAATGATTCCAAACACACTGCCTGTGCTGCAAACACACACCTAAATAGAAAAACACACAGTGGAACACCATCAATCATGGATTGGCCTCACCAGAGCCCAGCCCTCAACATTATTGAAGCAGTGTGGGATCATCTTGACAGAGAACAGAAGAAAAGGCAGCCAACATCCAAGGAAGAGTTTTGAATGTCCTTCAAGAAGCCTGGAAAACTATTCCTGAAGAAATGACAGGAAAGCTTGTCTCAGAGAATTCAGGCTGTGTAGAAGTATAAAGGTGGTGATTTTCAAGCTCATTAGAACTGTAAAAACGTTGCTTTTGCCTTATATAATATATTTCCATTTCGGTTTACACATGTTTCAAAAATGTCTTGGCAAGTTTCCCAGGAAATATGATGGGTGGCTCAAGACTTTTGCACAACACTGTATTTCGTGACTTCCAGATTTATAGACACTGACTGAGCTTCTTAATTATTAGGTAGATGCTACTTGCTTTTTGTGCACTGTAATATGTACACGCAGACGTTTGTATGTTTAGCTCAGCGCAGCATGTCAGAAGGTCACAATGCACCTCACATGACCTCTGCACAAACAACTTGTACGCCAATAATTATACGTTTATTAACAGCAGTGGCAGACTATGAGTGTCTGTGTGTCTCTGTGTAATGGGGCGATTAGCAGAGCTACACTTTGGAACCAGTTGTATGAGATTCTCTGCCGTCTGCTGTTGGTGTCTACAAAACCACATTCCTCTGTCAGTCAGCACCAAAACAACAGTTTGAAGCCGCACAGTGTCCTGACCCCTCAGCTGCATACTCAGTTACGCCACGGTCAAAGCATTTAACCTGAGCTCCGCTGCTGCATGGACCTCATTAGACTGGCTGGCAAAGCATACCAGAGAAGCCCATCTCTAAAACCAGGTGTCAGAGAGTCATTACTCTCCTGTCTGACCCACGGAGCAGCTGGAAATATTCTGGAGATAGATACAGCGACGAGTGGAAACACTGAGAGCAGCCCTGCTTTATTTCAATGCCATCAGACCGTAAACACAATAGTTGCTAATCAGCATCAGGGACCTTCTGTACAGACAGAAAATTGTGCTCCTGTCTGGTCTCCAGTCTTATTAATCACATGACTACAGAGGGAGTGTCTGCCCCTGCGTGTGTCTCATAGGTGCAGGCTTGTAGCAAACTGTCTGCTCGGTCATGTGTTTCTCACTTTGACTAGACATCAAAGTTTGGTGTGTAGCCCTCAAGAAACCTATTTTTAGCCTGTTTCCAGGTGTAAGTGCAGGGGTATTGGGGCGATTACAGTGCATACAGTAGATTTATGTCTCAGGTATGATGGGCAATGTGTCACCTTATTAGAACAATGAATGCCGTCTGGTAACAGCTGCAGTCTTTGTGTTGTTTTTAGTGCAGACTGACCATATTTCAGTGGGAGTAAGACTGAAAGCTGCCTTTTGTTCTCTCAGCCTGTCATCATTTTTTTTGTCACATTTGAGAAAAAGTTGTGCTGTGAAACCAGATTATAGCACATTTAGGAAGCCAGATAAACGCTTTTAAATGTTCCACTGAAGGATGAGCCGAGTTTTATTTATAGAGAACGCTTCAAAGCAGCAAAAAAGTGTTGCACAACTATGCCAGCAAAACACAGGGAAAAAAGACAACTGGGCAATAGATAATCTAAACAGTAATCGCTTTATTACATTGCCTACCCAATTACATACGGGTCTCAATTCTGTCAGACAGGTAGGTCTTAAGCGAGGATTTAGAGGGGAAAATGTAGGACAGATCTGATATGAATGGGTAGTCTGTTCCGATGCTTAGAGGTGCCAGCTGAAAAAGTAGAAAACCTCTTTGTTTGTAACTTGGACTTGAAACCACCTGGAGCATCTGGTCAGATGATCTAAGTCAGGGATGGGCAACATGTCGTCTGAGACAAAGAGACAGACTTTGAACAACTGAATTCAAACATGATGCAGACTTATGCTTAGCTTTGTGGATTATGTAAGCATGGTATTCTTGTTTCAAAAATCAAGATATTTCTTTAGGAAATGTGACAGTTTTGTGTCAGTGGAGCGTACTGTAAAACAAAGCGGTCCATTTGAAGCCAGTGGTAGTCCTGGTACAGAGGCCAGGTAACTAGAGATAGCAGTTAGCTGAAAAAATGATGCTTGTTTAAAACTAAAAACACACCAACAGAAATCCTGAAAGGCTCAGTGTGTTTGGGTACTGTACCCTGTGATACTTTGCCATACAGAATAACACATCCCAGCCACGTCACCTGAGCTGAAGTCTCAATTAGTAGAGGCTCTTGCTAATATTTTATATTATCTGTTATTTTAGTGTATTATTGTGTACTCCAGCCACTTGATATTACTGGGTTGAACCTCTTTTGCCTAGAGAGCATCTATTTAACAAGGCACTGACATTTATTCATGATGTGAATCTCCTGTTCCACAACATCTCAAAGGTGCTCTACTGTATTGAGATGGATTTCAGGTTGTGATTTTGGAGTCCTTTGAGTACAATAAACTCATTTTCATGTTCATTAAACCAGTTTGAGATGATTTGATCTCTCTGACGTGGCATATTATCCTGTTGGAAGCAGCCATCAGAAGATATGGACAGTGTGGTCATAAAGGGATTGTCAGGCCAGCAGCAATATTTAGGATCACTGTGGTGTTTAAATGATGCTCATTTGATGTTAAGGAGCCCAAAATGTACAAAGAAACTACCTAATACTACTTGACCATATCTAATGTTCCTAAATGCATTTGAGTTGTCATGTGATTGGTTGATTAGATATTAGATATTATTATTAGATTAGATATTTGCATGAACAAATTGCTGAACATTTGCACCTAATAAAGTGGCATGTGGTTATAGTGGTGATAAATTGGAAAGTTGGAAAAAAAACTGTCCTTAACATGGTCTAAGATCAGACATAGAAATTTTGCGGCTAATATAAGGAGCGCTGCCGATGTTAAAGACGGCGTCTGAATGACCAAATAATAAAACCTTGGATTAAAAGTACAGAAAAATTCTCATCTGACATGTTATAATTAAGATCTCTCTGTCTCTGTCCTGTTGTTGTTGCGTTCTAATAGTTTCTCATTCTCTTTTATTTTTCAAGCTGAATTTAATCCTGTTATTCCCAAGCTGGAGAAGAGCGTCAGTGGAAGCAGCCCATCCAGGGATCGCCTTCTTCTCACCGTGACGATGCTCTTTTTGGCCGCTCTCTGCATCTCCTAGCAACGGCCATCCCATTAGCGTCACCATGCCAACTAGCCTTGGGAAGGTGTACAATATCTGAGGAGAGGATAGGAGAGGAGAGGCAAATAGAGCAGAAAGCAAGAGGAGCAAGACTTTGAAATTAGAGTTTGGAAGAATCACAATGTGTGTGTGGGGGTGGGGGTGGGGGGAGTGCGTGTGTCTTTGTGTGCGTGCGTGCATGTGTGTGTCTGTGTGTGTACAGCTGTGTGTTTGAGGGAGTGTGGTTTTGGCAGAGTGCAGGCACCTTCAGACACTTGGTGACACAGACTGAACCATATCTGGCATTAAAGTCAGCCTGTGCCCACAGGTGCAGGTGGGGGTAGACTGTTTGTGAGTGTGTGTTTTTCTGTTTCTGTGTGCGTGTGTGTGAATGTGTGTGTGTGTGTGCATGAGCAGGCCGAATGTTGAGCTTGTTGAATCCTGCACACCACACAAAGCATTTATTCCACAGGTGAGGTGGAGCTCAAATCCTAATAAAAAGATGAAATCCAACCACCAAACTGAAACCTATTTGAAGACTTTCCCTTGGATCTGATTGGCTGTAAGAATCCTTAAGTCTAGTTGCCATAGTTTCTTGCAACAAATAGAACTGAAATGAACTGATTCATATAGATTTCAGCGGTACTGAACTGAAATTGCCTTTTTGTTGTTCTTGTTGTTGTTTATCTTGATGCTGGGAGCTTTTCCCAGCACACAGAGGAAAAAAAAAATGGAGCCAGCTGATGAACTATGTTGGCCCCGTGTAGTCAAAGTAGCCGGTAGTTCATACACAGACAGACCCTGGGACTCCAGACCACCAGTGTTTCAGTTGCCATTTCCACTATGCTGTGTCATTCTGTGTTCACCATCAGCGCTCAGAAGGCAAAAGGACAGAAAGGGGTCATGGGAAAATACAAAGCATTTAAATGTCGACTCACCATTTTGAGGAAAAGATAGAAGAGGGGGAAAGGAACCTGAATATGTGGCATTGACAGACAGTGCAAGGGTTTGTGGACGTTAGAAGTTGCTGTGCTACTTTTCTGTCTTTTCCTTGAAGTACTCAGTTCGTCCTCTGCCAGCTCCGAGGTTAATGAAGCACACGATGGCCATCGAGCAGCCATGGATACACTCAGCAATACTACGCTCCTCACACGCGACTGCAAGCTGTTCAGAGGAGAGGAAGAGGAACCCGGAGGAGGGGACGAGAGAGGAGGAGCAGTCAATCACACGAGCATCAATAAATAGGTCCTGTCCAAGCCATGTTGGTTTAGCGGCCTGCTCTACCAACCCTGTTCTCTGTACGCCCATATGTCAGTTGCCACATTTTTGCGTTTCTGTTTGAGTGTGTTTTATGCGTGCCCGAGTGGGGAAAAAACAAAACCATCTCCAGCGTGCTGTTTGTCTGTGTTTGAGAGCGAGAGAGAGACTATTTTAAAAGGTACTAACAGCCTAAAAAATACATACATCCACATACTGTACATCTTATAAGTATGAAAACGCAAAAAAAAAAAAAAAAATCAAAACACGACTAAAGCAGCAAGTTATACATACAAACCAAGTGCTTTGTTGGGGAGGTACAGCAGTCCAAAACTCAAACAAATGTACCAGTTGGTTGCTTCAGAATAGCGTTTCCATAGCAACTAGCACCTTATTCACCATGGTTACCCTACCCTGCCAACGGATGGACTCTAGTAGGGCATGGCTTACCATAGTAGCTGATAACAATGATGAAGGTGATGTTGATTATAATGATAATAAAGAGGACTGTGAGCTGGCCGTTAGTCGATAAGGACTGACGCCACGCGGCTCGCCCACCGGTATGTGAGGCGTTCAAGTACTCGTGTAAATGTCACAACAGAACAGAATGGAATTCTAATGTATTGAAATCTGACGAGGTGAAATGTGATGTAAGCATTTTTACAAACTTGAAGCTCAGTTTTCTTTGCGGTTGTTTTCCTTTCCTTTCTTTTTTTAATTTTCAGTTTTCTTGAGTTTGCTGTGGTACATAACTGCTTATGTTGAGATGGGAAGACGGGTTTTAAAAGTTTGAAAATTGGGTTGGGTTAAGCTTTATGTAAACCTGGGCTGCACTCTGTGATTCTCTTCAACTCGTTCAACTTTAAGGTAAAGTCATGCTGCATACTATGTTTTTAACAACAACACTGGCGCGTCGCTTTATTTCCTTTAAAAGACGCTCCGGTGACTATATACATGAGTTAGGAGATAATTAGGAGCATTAGTGAACTCGTGAGAACTTTTTTAATATAATCTCTGGCTCTGGGGTATAGACTGTAAATAAAAGATGGGCACAGCAACAGTGACATCACATATTGGTTTGTGAAGTCCGGTTTTGAAGCCATTATTTTAGCCTTTTGCCAACACTGCAAGCACAGGAAAGAGGTACAGTTCAGTGGCTTAACAGACAACTACTGGCTACAGCTTCCTGGCAGTCCACATGCCTAATTATGATAACTTTAACCTTTAGAAAAGTTAAATGGATAAGTAAACTAAGCTGAACTTTAGCCTTGAAATTTTAAATAGATGTCTTGTTTAATCAGTAAGGGCCATGACATTTGAAAAATATAGGCTTGTACAAGACATGACTTCTGAGAGGAGTTACAGAGTTGCATCATGGGAATTGTAAGATCAAGTATTTTTGAGTTGAGGATTTTATAGTGTGGACAGAAAGTTGGTATTTGTTATCTGTTTTAGCTGTTCTCGTTTTCATTTTGGCCATGTGCTTTTATCTTTAATAAATCCCAGATTTATAAAAGGGAAGTACTAAAGTGATAACCTTTTAAAATAAACTATGTCTGTTTGCTATTAATTGTATATAGATAGCATATGTTTCACTGAGGCAGAGATATATTTTGAACCTTTTTAAAGGTCTAATTTTTACCTATTTTGGCCTTTTTGGAGACCTAAATGGGTTAAAATGATCAACATGTCTAGTAAGAAAAACCTAAAAGAATGCAAGAAAGTCTAATGAAATGTCACCCTGACGAGAGATTGTGCCTGTGGAAATAAACAACCAATTAAAAGACCATGTGTGATCCAGCCCCAGGTGTACATATAGCTCATGGTGGGAGGGTGAAGGAGGAAAGGTTTGGGTTCGGGTGTCGAATGGGAGGATTGAAGAGTTTGAAAAGTTAAATCACTCTTCAAGAAGTTGCACTTAAGAACTCAGACACGCGGGCGAGAAAACATGTATGTGTGTTCATGGGTGCGTTCGTGTGTGCAAATTATTGAGAGCGAGCGAGTGAGTGAGCGACAGACTCTTTGTTTCTGATCTTTCCATGTGTGCGTATGAATGAGAAAATGTGACCGATTGTTGTCTGGCAAAACAATAAAAGCATTTACTAGTGTTGGAAACAACAATTACAATCATGTTTACCTTCGACTGGAATGACTTTAAATGAACTTGAAAATAAACTGTAAACTGAACGAACCATAACAGAGGTTATAACAATGATCATGATAACAAAATAATAAGCTTACAAATGTTACTTTTAACAAGACGTGTGTTCGCCTCTTTATTTGCTTCCCCCTGTTAATCTCCTCCCTCACCCTCCCTGCTCTCTAAGTCTTTGAGGATCTAAAAAAAACAAAATAAGCATGGAGCTAATCCAAGACAACAGATGGAGGGGTTGCAGAAAAAAGGTTTTACCTGGTATACTCAGTTCTCTGTAGATAATGTTGTTTGGGAGCTCACAGATGTGATTTTCCATATCAAAGTTGGTGTGGCAAGGCTCTCCCTCTGCAGTAATACCTTTACACACTCAGATTAGGAGAGATAAGCACTTCAATCACCAACCCAACATTTGAATGACAATGGGACAGGGCAGCAGTGTGTACCTGTATGTCTGGACCGGCTGATGGAGGGATAATGCTGCTCCTGATGTCAGAGTGCAGCCAAGCTTAAAGGCTGTGATGTTATGCAACAGGTTTCTGTCATATAGGTAAAGGTAACATATTCACCACTGAGTGACAGGACAGCACAAGGGTTGAGATAAACAGATAAGAGTTGGGGTATAGAAGGAGATGGAGATGTGAAATGCAGAGTTAGACATTTAGAAAGATGAGATTATACAGGAAGTCAAAATGTGGATATTTACAGGATATTTGAAGTACAATCAAATGCACTTAAGTGATGATTAGCAAGTTTTGGCAATTTGCAGGGCTGAAGCATTCAGGTGGTTCTTAACATAATGCCACAATCTTCCCAACAGTGGATGTCCTCTCAAATTTACCACAAGATCAGACTGCAATATTCAAGAGATTTTTTGTTTAAATTCAAGAGCTACATCTCAGACACAACAAGGCTCAGACAGCATGTTACCTAATTAAGTTCATGACAATACAGTTAGAAAAGAACTGAACAGGTGTGGCTTGTTTGGATGTTTTGCTGTGAGAAAGCCTCTTCTTTCTAAAAGAACATGTCAACGCGGCTTAGGTTTTGAAAGCTGTATCTGAACAAACCACAGGACTTCTAAGATGTTTCGCCATAATGACTAGTTTAGAGAAATCCACACACATATCAGCACAAACACATCATACTAACTGTTAAGCACGGGATTGGTGGTGGAGAGCTTGTCTTGCAGGCACAGGACCTGGGCACCTTACAGTCATTAAGTCGACCATGAACCCTACTGTATGCCAAAGTATTCTAGAGTCAAATGTGAGGCCATCTGTCTAACAGCTAACGCTTGGCTGAAATTGTGTCATGCATTGGGACAATGACCCCAAGCACAGCAGCAAATTCGCAACAGAATGGCTGAAAAAGAAAAGAATCAAGGTGGTGCTATGGCCTAGTCAAAGTCCAGACTTTAACCTGATTGAAATGTGTGGCAGGACTCCAAGAGAGGTGTGCGGCGTGCGTGCAAATTAACTGAAGCAACAATGTAAAGAAAAGACGGACAAAATTCCTACGCCATGACGTGAGAGACCAATAAACTCATAGAGAAAACAAGTCCTTCAAGTCATTGCTGCTAAAGGTGATTCTACAAGCTATTGAATCATAGGGTGTTCTTAGTTTTCCACAGGACTTCAGAGACCTGTGGAATTTTTCTAATGACTTTCACATGACTGTACACCAATCCGGTATGACATTATGACCACTGACAGGTAAAGTAAATAACACTGATTATCTTTTCATCATGGCACGTGTTGGTGGGTGGGATGCATCATGGAGCAAGTGAAGATTTTGTCCTTAAAGTTGATGTGTTAGAAGCAGGAAGCATTGGCAAGTGTAAGAATTTAAGTGAGTTTGACAAAATTTAATGGCTAGACAACCGAGTCAGAGCATTTCCCAAACTGCAGCTCTTGTTGGTTGTCCCTGGCCTGCTATGGTCAGTATCTATCACAAGTGAACAATGGTGAAACAGCGTCATCGGCGTCCGACTCGTTGATGCAAGGGGGTAAAGGCCGGCCTCTGCGGTCTTATCCAACAGGTGAGCTACTATAGTTAAAACGGCCAGAAACGTTCATGCTGGTTCTCATAGAAAGGTGTTACAATATACAGTGCATCACAGTTTGTTGCTTATGGGGCTGAATAGCTGCAGAGCAGTGAGGGTAGCCATGCTAACCCCTGTGCACCACTGAAAGCGCCAACAATGGACCTGTGAGCATCATGACTGGACCATGAGGCAATGGAAGAATGTGGGCTGGTCTGATGAATCACATCTTTTACATGGGTGCGTGTGCATCGCTTACCTGGGGAACACCTGGCACCACAATGCAATATAGGAATGAGGCAAGACAGGGGAGGCAGTGTGATGCTTTTCCTAGTGATCTAGGAAACCTTGGTTTCTGCCATCCCTGTGGATGTTACTTTGACACACATCATCTACATTGTTGCAGACCACGTACACTCATTCATGGAAACAGTATTGCCTGATGCATGTGTCCTCTTTCAGCAGGATAATGCTCCCTGCCACAAAACAAAAATAGTTCAGAAATGGTTTGAGGAGCACAACAACGAGTTTAAGATGTTGACTTGGCCTCCAAATTCCCCATGGGGGTCCCACCTCACAACTTACAGGACTTTAAAGATCTGTTGTTCTTGGTACCAGATACCTTTTAGCTTGGCTGCTATTGCTGGCCAAGATCCACTCTGCAACACAAAATAGAGAGTAGCAACTATGTCTACAAGAACAGGGTTTTATTTCAAATACTTCAGGTGCTGTGAAAACTCTACGGTTATATATAATCCAGTCTGCCTGCTTTCTCTCACATAATTCCAGTCAACAAAAAGCTAAAACAAAAAACCCAAAACAAACAAACAAAAAAATGAATCTTAAAAAGAAAAACAGGATAGTTTGATGATGTAGAGTGTTGGATATTCCAGGCTACCACAGGCACTTTTTCCACATCTTCACATGTGTGGGCATTTAGGTACTATGCCACTCTAAGATTTTTGCATTTCCACTACAAGGCCAGTAGGAGCTGCAGAAGGGCTCAACAATGTTTAGTGTACAAATAATTATCTGAAAGGAAATACAATCAGACACTCCTATGCTACCTCTGGCAGATCTGTAACCAAGATAAGAAGAAGCAGTTTGATTGCTTTCTTTATTATCATTGAAATCGCAAGAAAACGAGCAGCTGTCCATCCTC